ATAATCATTCTACATGTAAATGAATCCATTTATTCTCTAATCAAATCATAATTCTCTAATCAAAAACCACAGAGTGGTGGGATGGATTAAAAAACAAGGCCCAACAATACGCCTCCAGGAAACACATCTCCACTCTAAAGACAAACACAGGCTCAGAGTGAAGCAATGGAAGATGATACTCTAAGCTAATGGCAAACAAATGAAAGCAGGTATTGCCATACTTATATCAGACAGAGTAGACTGCAAGATAAAACATGTAATCAGAGACAAAGAAGGCCAATATATAATGATCAAAGGGACACTTCATCAAGAAGAAATAATGCTTATAAATATCTATGCACCCAACACAGGAGCACCAAAGTGCATAAACCAATATTAACAAACCTAAAAGGAGATATTAACAACAGCACAGTAATAGTAGGGGACCTTAAAACCACATTTACATCAATGGATAGATCATTCAGACAGAAAGTCAACAAGGAAATAGTGGAATTAAATGAAAAACTAGACCAGATGGATTTAATAGAGATATATAGAACTCTCCATCCAAAAACAGCAGAACACACATTCTTCTTAAGTACACATAGAACATTCTCAAGGATAGACCATATGCTGTGAAACAAGGCATGCCTCAATAAGTTTAGGAAGACTGAAATCATATCAAGCATCTTTTCTGACCATAATGCTATAAAACTAGAAATTAACTATAAGAAAAAAGTTGGAAAAGTGACAAATACATGGAGACTAAACAACATGCTACTGAACAACTAATGGACCATTGAAGAAATTAAAGGAGAAATCAAAAAATATCTGGAGACAAATGAAAATGAAAATACACCATACCAACTCACATGGGACGCAGCAAAAGTGATCCTAAGAGCACAATTCATAGCAATGCAGGTTCACCTTAATAAACAAGAAAAATCTCCAATAAGTAAGCTTAAAGTACACCTAACAGAATTAGAAAAAGAAGAACAAACAAAGCCCAAAGTCACCAGAAGGAGGGAAATAATAAAAATTAGAGCAGAAATAAATGAAATTGAAACCAAAAAAAAACAGTAGAAAGGATGAATGAAAGTAAGAGCTGGTTCTTTGAGAAGATACACAAAATTGACAAACCCTTAGCCAGACTCACTAAGAAAAAAGAGAGGAGGTTCAAATAAATAAAATTAGAAATGAAGGAGGAGAAATTACCCTGGATACCACAGAAATACAAAGGACTATAAGAGAATACTACGAAAAACTGTATGCCAACAAATTGGACAATCTAGAAGAAATGGATAAATTCTTAGACTCATACAACTTCCCAAGACTGAATCAAGAAGAAATAGAGAATCTGAATGGACCCATTACAAGTAAAGAGATTGAAACTGTAATCAAAAATCTCCCAAAAAATAAAAATCCAGGACCAGATGACTTCTCTGGAGAATCACCAAATATTCAAAGAAGATTTTTTTTTTAGCTGAGGAAGATTGGCCCTGAGCTAACATCTGTGCCCATCTTCCTCTACTTTATATGTGGGATGCCTACCATGGCATGGCTTAACAAGTGGTGCATAGCTCCACACCCAGGATATGAACAAGTGAACCCTGGGCCACCAAAGCAGAATGTGCAAACTTAACCACTGCACCACCAGGCAGGTCCTCAAAGAAGATTTAATATCTATCTTTTTCAAACTATTGCAAAAAGTTGAAGAAGACGGAATACTTCCTAACACGTTTTTCAAGGCCAACAATACCCTGATCTCAAAGCCAGACAAGAACAACACAAAGAAGGAAAATTACACAGGCCAATATCACTGATGAATATAGATGCAAAAATCCTTCCACAAAATATTGGCAAGTTTAATACAGCAATATATTAAAAGGATCATACACCATGATCAAGCGGGATTTATACCAGGGATGCAGGGATGGTTCAACATCTGCAAATCAATCAATGTGATACACACATTAACAAAATGAGGAATAAAAACTTCATGATCTTCTTCGTAGATGCAGAGAAAGCAATTGACAAGATCCAACATCCATTTATGATAAAAATTCTCAATAAAAATGGGTACAGAAGGATAGTACCTTAACATAATACAGGCCATACATGACAAACCCACAGCCAATGTGATACTCAACAGGGGAAAACTGAAAGCCATCCTCTGAGAACAGGAACAAGAGAAGGTTGCCCACTCTCACTATTCTTATTCAACATAGTACTGGAGGTTTTGGCCAAAGCAATTAGGAAAGAAAAAGAAATAAAAGGAATCCAAATAGTTACTGAAGAAGTGAAACTCTCTCTGTTTTGCAGATGATATGATTTTACATATAGAAAACCGTAAGGAATCCATCAGAAAACTATTAGAAATAATCAACAACTGTAGCAAAGTTGCATGGTACAAAATCAACTTAAAAATTTAGTTGCATTTCTATCCTCTAATAATGAACTAACAGAAAGAGAATTCAAGAATACAATCCCACTTACCATTGCAACAAAAAGAATTAAAGTATCTAGGAATAAATTTAACCAAGGAAGTGAAAGACCTATACAATGAAAACTATAAGACATTGTTGAAAGAAATCAATAACGACAAAAAGAAATGGAAAGATATTCCATGCACATGGATTGGAAGAATTAGCACAGTTAAAATGTCCATCCTACTTAAAGCAATCTACAGATTCAATGCAATCCCAATCAGAAACTCAATGACATTCTTCACAGAAACAGAACAAAGAATCCTAAAATTCATATGGGGCAACAAAAGACCACAAATAGCTAAAGCAAAAGAACAAAGGTGGAGGCATCAGAATCCCTGACTTCAAAATGTACTACAAAGCCATCGTGATCAAAACAGCGTGGTACTGGTACAAAAACAGGCGCACAGATCAATGGAATCAAATTGAAAGCCCAGAAATAAAACCACACATCTACAGACAGCTAATCTTCGACAAAGGAACTAAGAACATACAATGGAGAAAGGAAAGTCTCTTCAATAAACGGTGCTGGGAAAAATGGACAGCCACATGCAAAAGAATGAAAGTAGACCATTATCTTACACATGCACAAAAATTAACTCAAAATGGATCAAAGACTTGAAGGTGAGATGCAAAACCATAAAACTCCTAGAAGAAAATATGGGCAGTACACTCTTTTTGATATCAGTCTTAGAAGGATCTTTTTGAATACCATGTCTTCCTGGGCAAGGAAAACAAAATCAAAAATAAACAAGAGGGATTTCATCAGACTAAAGAGCTTCTGCAAGGCAAAGGAAAACATGAACAAAAGGAAAAGACAACCCACCAACCGGGAGAAAATATTTGCAAATCATGTAACCCACAAGAGGTTAATCTCCAAAATATATAAAGAACTCACACAACTCAACAAGCAAAAAAAACAAACAATAAGGTCAAAAAATGGGCAGAAGACATGAACAGACATTCCCGAAGAAGATATACAGATGACCAAGAGATGAAAAGATCTTCGACATCACTAATCATCAGGGAAATGCAAATCAAAAGTAAATTAAGATACCACCTTAAACCCCCTAGAATGGCTATAATCACCAAGACAAAAAATAACAAATGTTGGAGAGGTTGTGGAGAAAAAGTAACCCTCATACACTGCTGGTGGGGATGCAAACTTGTGCAGTCACTATGGAAAACAGTATGGAGATTTCTCAAAAAATTAAAAATAGAAATATCATACGACCCAGCTATCCCACTCCTGGGTATTTATCCAAAGAGCTTGAAATCAACAATTCAAAGAGACTTATACACCCCTATGTTCACTGCAGCATTATTCACAACAGCCAAGACATGTAAGCAACCTGAGTGCTCATCAACTGGTGAATGGATAAAGAAGATGCAGTGTATATATACACAATGGAATACTACTCAGCCATAAAAAAGACAAAATTTTCCCATTTGCAACAACATGGCTGGACCTTGAGGGTGTTATGTTGAGCAAAATAAGCCAGAGAGAAAGACAAACATCGTATGATTTTATTCATGTGTGGAAGACAAACTAACACAAAGACAAAGAGAACAGATTAGTGGTTACATAGCGGGAGGGGGTTAGGGGGTGGGTATAAGGAGTAAAGGGGCACATTTGTACGGTTACTGACAAATAATAATGTACAACTGAAATTTCACAATGTTATAAACTATTATGACCTCAATAAAGTTTAAAAAAACAAAGTTGTGCAAATTCCAAAGATCTTTCAAAAAAATAAGCTGACTGCTTTAGATCAACCAACTGGAACAGAACTTTATGCCTTATATCCAGTCTGTCATTCCTTGCATCTCTGTCATAGCGATGCTAAGAATTAAATGATATATGGGAAAGAAAAAAAATATTCATCATACTATCAAGAGGGAACCAAATTTTTAAAACTCTGAGTAGAACTTTGAATAGAAGCTTTTAAAAGAAAGGAGCATTAAGTCCAACAGCAAAGTAATAGCTTTGATATTTTTTATATTTGTTATAGCTTCTTGAGGGCCGCAGTCTTTGTCTTCAGAAAGGAATCTAATTTTGTGATCTGGTATCTAAGACATATTTTTGAAATGTCAGTAACAACATACTTTTTAAACCAATTTTATAAAATTTGCAATAATATGCTTTTCCAGTAGATGTCTCTGAAATGTTCTGAAGGAGAACAAGGAAATTGCAGCTTGCTCTCATGACACAAAGGACAGAAATTTAAGTTCAAATAATGTTAGATAAGAGAGGAGGAAAGAAAACTTCTTTGCAAATCTGTTAAAAATAAATCCAGTCAGCTTTAGTCAGACCCTCTATACAGGAAAAAAGTCTTTTATAAAATTATGCTTTATAAAATCTATCACAGATATTATGAAGGCTGAAAAACTGCAATTATGCAGTTATTGGAATGAACTGACCCCTACCGTATGTTATGAATGTATGAAAATATTTTACTTCATAAACGCTGTGAAATAGTTCAATAAATTATTTAAGAGCTATTGTAACTAACATTTTAAATATGGGGTTTCTTCAGGAAGATTATTTTAAAATATTACTTCAATTAATATGAAATAAAAGTTACAATATTTAAAACAGAAAAAACTATGTTTCTTATGTTTTTGCGTATCTAATTCTTCCCAGTGGTGATTAATGCTTTCCTCTTTGAGAAAGAACATTACCTCCTGCAAGCATCTTGCTCGATGAAATTATGATACATTTAGTCAAAAGATACCATGTACCTTAAATCTTTGTTGTACCCAATTGCCTTCTTCGATTTACCTACTAAATCGCAGTAAATCTTTATGCATGTACCTAATGTCACCATGCAAGTATTCGCACTCACATTCCAGGATCAGCTGGAAACCAGTCTTGTCAAGTGACACAGGAAAGTTTCTGGTTCTAAGGGGGAAAGAGCAAGCTTCCTCATTACTGAGCTGCCATCAATGACTTCCTCCATATGCCTCCAAGACCTGGAAGAAAAAAAATACTCACAAATAACGCTTGTCTAATTAAAAAAAAAGAGAAGGAAAGAAAAAACCCCTAAAAGGAAGCTGTTGCTCTTGACCCTTGCCCACCTTGCTTCTCTAATTCCCTGATCCACCAAGGTCAGAGTTTCTAGTGCAGGAAAAAAAAGCATAATTGTATTGGGAGAAAAGAAAAAAGGAATACAGTTTTTAAAATATATTGCATTTTTTAAAAATCTCAAGTGCATAAAGATCTTTAAAAGATGATTGACTTAAATAAATGCCCTTCTGTCCTGGCACCTCTTAGAAAGAACCAAGAAAAAGAGACTCAGAAATCTGCACCCCATGGAATAAAGCAAAGATCTGTGCTTAAGTGCAAGATCAGATAGATTGCCTGGAAAACCTAGAATGCCTGGCAGCCCTCGCAGTAGGGAGTATATTTGGGAAGACAGAAAGGTCACTAAATGAAAAAATAAGAGCGTCGACTAACCAGGAACTTTCTCACAGGAGAGTAACTGACTCCACTGTTATCAGAGATCCTATCAGCGCTTCTCTGCGGGCTAGATCCGTGCAGTAAACTGGGATGAATGCAAGTTTTCAACTCCGGTCAACAAACAGAGCTGGAAAAGATAACGTGAACTATTGAATTTGTTAAACAGGCATGGCAAGTTTTTAACAGCCTTGGCAGGGACCCCATCCAATGAATTCCTGAGAAAAGAGGTTCATATGACAATCGGATCTCTTGTGTGATGCTTAACAGTTGTTCCTTTTACTTAGGAGTCTAATTTCCCCACCTATTTTCTCCTGAAAACAATTAATTTTAAAATAACCATAGCTGAGAGAAAACGGGAAGTTTTAAGGACACACACACACGTGCAATCACATTAGTTTTTGTCATTTAGTATTGAAAGTATTTTTCCAACTACATTTTCTTTCAAATTAGTTTTTTTAAAATTTAACAAAAATATGGAGAAAATTTAATTTTTCTTATTTCATTTATATTATGTTTCCACATAATGAGTGATTCACCAAAGATTAGTATGCAAGAAAACTAAAGACTTTCACTCGATACTTCTATGTATCATTCTTTATCCCTTTCAATTTCTTTCTTTTTTTCCTTTTGATGACTTTCTTTATGTACTTTCTCTTCCCCCTTTTGTCACTGATTTCAAAGTTTTCTTCTTTTTAGTTTTTATTTCTAACCTGCTGATTTTCTCTAGTATGTCACTTTCTATTTCCTTGTTTACAGTGCAGTAGCGTTTTTCCAAATCACATGAATGATATTTATCTGAAATTCTTTTGACCCTAAGATCAACAGAAAGTTCGACTTGAATGCTCTTCATCTGCTGGTTGTTTTCACCTCTTGCACGTTCGGGATCTTTCCTGGACTGGTGAGACAGACAGAAGTACGACTTGATGAAGCACTCCATTCAGATATGATCCCAGAAGACCTAAAATACCCCCCACCTCCTCTGTCTTGATTAAAAAATTATAAAAAACAATTCCTAGATTGCAATTTTAATATGAAAATATCTGATATTTTCTGCCTTATAACAATTAATTTATTTATTAGAATTAGGAAATTTTACAATTTGTACCAAATTAGTGCCTCTTGACCAGGGTCATACAATGAAATCACCTGTCGAGTTTTAAAAATATATATACACATGCTCAATTCCCCAGGACAGATTGGCTAAATCAGAATGTTCAGGTGGGGAATGGAAAGAACATGGACACTTTTAGTGTTTCAAAATTTATAGGTGTTTCTGATTTCCATCCATGATGAAAAACCACTATTCTAAAGAAATATTTAAAACCCATATGTGTAAAATGTTAATAACAGATGAGAAAATGTGAATAATAACCTTGTTTGTATGCCACAAAACAATGTAGTCTCTGTTTTTACTATAATCACGCATTGCTTCCTAACAAAGCGTCCTCTGCCTACTAAGGATGGTATGCCTTTAGATGCACCAGCTCTTTTCGTTTTCCTATGATCTAGCTCAAAAAGGTAAGCAGTAAGAAAATGAAAAGACTATTTGTTATCCTGTTAAACCCACCTATTCCTTTTGCTGTAAATACTGACAGGTCTGTATTCCGAACACTCTTTCACTGCTAAGGAAAACAGGGAAGGTGGTGTGGTGGGAAGTTGCTAAGGAAGATTTATCTCGACACTTCACTCCAGGGGTTCTCAAACTTTAGTGTGCATTGGAATCACCTGGAGAGCTTGTTAAAACACAGATTCCCACCCTGCTCCAGTATTTCTTAAATTAGCACATCTAGGGTGGAATTTAGAAGTTGCATTTTTAAAAAGTTCCCAGGCGATGCTGATTCTGCTGACCCAGGGACCCTGGTTTGGGAACCATGGCTTCAGTCTCTAGTTACCCTCTTGGGCAGACTCAGATTTTAGCAAGCTGCCAGAAAAATGCTTTATTGTATCACCTAAGGAGGAACCTTGATCAAAAAAACTGATGCAATTATTTAATAGATATATTTATGTGAATTAATTTATTGCTATTACTTAGCAGAAAATTAACACTTTTCACCACTTACTGCAGCCTCCAAATAAGTACACTTTTCCCCAAGCTGCAGATTGTTTTCTTCCACCAAATAAATCAACAGTTACATAGGACTTTATATAACATAGTGGAGAAAAATAAGAAACCAAATCAAAACAAAAACCTTGGACATGAATGGAAATTCATTAATTTAGCTCAATGCCCAGAAGAAAAGCAATGCAAAATCTAGTCTAACAATAGAGACTAACTCAAATTAGTGCCAAATATATTATACTATCTGTGGAGGAGAGCTGTGTTAATATTATTGTCACAGCCACATATGCCTTTGGGAGCATAATTAACATGTGCCAGAGGTGCGGTTTCATCAGTACATAATTTCACATGGGAGGAAGCCCAGTCAGACACCAAACACTTGTTTTCTCATGTCTCACATGCAGATTTCCATGAATAAATGTGTTCATTAGAAGTGTGCAAATTACAGACATACATTACTTGATTCGTTCAATATTTTTAATAAATCTTTCGTCTAAATTGTTTTCCCCAATGAAAAATTATACTGCCATTTAAAATATTAACTTGATTCATGGGAAATGTGAAGTGATTCTTTAAGAGTAGATTTACTGTATAAGAATTTCTATTTTTTCTGAAATTTCACTGATTTTACAGGTTGATTCCTTTGAGATGTGCCCCGTGATCCTTTTCTTCTTGTAATCCTTATGCTTTGAGCCTAAAAATCTGGGAACAACGCATTTAAGTGGCACTATTACATACACAGATATTCTTTCAGTAAGGAACCTGTAGCTCTCCCTGATTTCCAAGCAGACGCCAGTGGGATATTGCATTGTTAAACAAACTGCTTTTGTGGCCGTCTACTTATAAAGCTGCTATAGCTTTAACACAGCTGATTTTAAAGTGCCCTCAATTATGCAGGCAGGTTGTGTCCGCCAGTTTACACAGCTTCCCCAAACTACCATCCATTTTCGCCTAAAAGGAGACCTGAATAATTTTATTTTTTCAGACAGAATTAGAGTCCTGCACTTCCAACACCAACGCGGTTGCACGTTGCCCCATGGATGGAGGCGGAGCAGCTTACTCTGCAATCATCGCAGACCATCACACTTCAGCACACAGGAAAATGAATGTCATCCACATTATTACTCAGGACTGGAAAAAATGAGGCAGTCCCAGTGCTTAACCTCTCTCTCTTCTCTTTTCGCTTCCCCCCAGCCCAAGAACAGCAGGACTTGATACACAGCAACCAGGCTGAGAGTCACACAGCTGTTGGCAGAAGGACAGCCGAGCAGCAGCAGCAACAGCAGCAGCAAGACTGTGGTGACCCAGGTCACGGATTGTAATTACTATCATCCCTAACCCAATTATTGTCAACACTATTGATGACAACTTCCAAAGAACAAATCACTTGGCTATCAAAGCTTTGGTGGTGACACATGAACATACCTCTCAATCCTTTTCTATTGACGCTGCATGTTGGCGGAAACTGACCGAGCTGCAGGTTCCCAGCCTGCGTGATTATTGAAGCTCTGTGTGCAAACACAGAAGGAAAATGAAAATGCTGTCATACTAGGTTGTAAGGAAATCACAAATTTCTGAAATGAATTCAAACTCTTGTCCACCAAAGAGTGCAATCATGGAAGAATCTTGACATGGAAGGAACGACTTGAACATTTTAAGGAGCTAAGAAGGCTCCCTTCCAGTGGTTGATAAGCGATCACTAGGGGTGTTGATCACTGACTAAGGAAAAAAATTATCACTAAGAACCAACGAGAACCTCGTGTTGATCCAAAGTTGTCGTGTCACATATTTTCTCATCTTTCTAATCGTTAATACTTTACCATTTTCTTTAGGCTTAACTTTTTCTCTCAGAAACATAAAATTGGTTACTGCTAAAAACACCTCTCCACTCTGTTTGGCATAGATCTAGTCATATAAAATACGGCACTCAAATTGAGAAATGTGACTTAGGGGAATCTCTTTAAGAACACTGATGAATATATCTTAGAAATTGTACTCTAATTTTTTAAGGGATTGGAATTCAGTATTTTCATAAAATACCATAAAATCCTCCTTGCCTGACATCACATAATACACATGATTGAAGTGCATGTGTAAAGGCATGGAAAGGATCATTGCTGTATAAAGCAATTCAAACTAAATTCTGAATCTCTTTATCTCTCATTAAAGAATACCTCAATAAAGAATAAAATTCTCAGAATATAGATCAACTACTTACATGTAGATGGCTACACATATTCAATGCTGGAGCACTGGATTTGAAAGCAGAAGGTGAGGCGTTAGCTCTGGTACCTCAAGCAAGTTATTTTGGTTTTCTGCCCCTTAGTTTCTTCAACTGCTGAGAGTGTATCAAGAACTCTTTAAGGTTAAAAAAAAAAGACAAAATTCTGGGAGGAGTTAAAACAGTTTAGAAATCTAAGCTATTACAATACTTTTTACTAATTTCTACCCCCAAGTAGTCTAAAATTCAGGTTGCCATTTACTAAGTGCATATAGTCTATATTTTCATATATATAGTGAAATATGGTTTATTTGAATTACCTTTAAACCTATCTTGAACTTTCAGTGGTTTTAAATATATATATATATATATACACATTTAAATGTTTCCAATTTTCTCTTCTTCTACATGCAGCAGTGACACAAAAAATGGCAGACCAGCTGAACCACCAGGCAATGAAATTGACCGTTCTGCAGACGAAGATTGACAATGTTTCTTTGGCTGTGAGTGATGTAAAGAACGCGTGCTCTTCCCTAGAAGGGAAAATCAATGAAGATAAAGGCAGGGAATTTCAATCTTTCCTAAAAGGTAAAAGTAAAGTAAAATAAACTATTCCTTCAGTTAGGACAAAAGGCAAATGACTCATTTATCTTTTCTCACATCACTTTGGGATCTCTGCTTTAGGCTGGGTGATATGGAAGGCTAAGACAGGTTTTTTTAGTAAGATATTTGTAAATCACTCTATTTCTGAAATAATTTGAAACATCTAAATATTTTTTATTCTATAGTCAAATATTTGACTATTCATCTGATTTATTGAAATTACATACCTAGCTACAGCCTAACTTAGATTTCTGTATAGTTAAAATGAGCCATACTGAATTTACTTCCATTGTGGTTTTCGGTTCAAAGTAAAGATGAGGTTAAGGGATGATTGCTAAGGCAGCTATATGCTCGTCTCAATAATATTGATGGAGACAGTGAGGATAAATTTAAGTGCATTATTATCCCAGAAATTTTGTAGATCATGAAGTATAATCAATAAGATATGTCCTAAAACATCTCAGGTCAGAGAAATAGTTTCTTTATAAATGTGAATCAATTTCCCTGAATTTCATGCTCTCCGAACGGTGGGCTGTGTTCTTTCTGGAGGCTCTACAGGATGACCCATTTCCCACTAATTCAAGTTGCTCTCAGAGCTCATTTTCTTGCAGTTGTAGGACTGAGGTTCTATTTTCTCGATGGTTATAAACTGAAGCTTGTTCCCAGCTTCTAGAAGCCACTGAATTTCTTGGTTCTGGCCTTCATCCGCATCTTCAAAAGCCAGCAATCGCTGTCGAGCCCCCATGGCATCTCTCAGACTTGTCTGCCTTCCTCTTCCTCTTTCAAGGACTCTTGTGATTACATTGGCCGCACCTGGATAATCCAGGATAATCTCCTCATCTCAAGGTCCTTAACCTTAATGACATCTGTCAAGGCCCTTTTGCCACATAAGGTGACATATTCACATTCACAGGTTCAGGGAATTAGCGTGTGGACAGCCTGGGAGGGACAGCAATATTCTGCCTACCACAGAGATTTATGCATAGTGAGTAATTGCTATGTAGTGTTATGCACAGGGTTCAATGGGACTGTTTGATAGTTTCAACAAATCTAGTCTAAAGCCGAGGAAGGCTTCCTCACATCTCAACTGTTAAGTGACGGACCAGGAGGAGTTAACCAGGCAAAGGGATTTCAGGTAGGGACTGGAGATTCCAGGCAAATAGTTTGGTTAATAGGAGTGTCTCAATTCATTGGGTTTACTGTATGTTTCTGAGTTTCAGGATTACTGGGCCCTCTCACTTTGTTTTATACATTAAAAAAAAAAAATACTCACTCTACAACTCCATTTCTGTCATCACAAGTTATTTTTCCTCTATAGTGGTTCACAGGTAAAAGAGATAACAAGGTGGAAGTTTCCAAATCATCTACCAGTACCGTAGAAACCATGATTTTTTAAAACCATGGAAATAACTGGTGCTATTAAGCCAGTGAAAGAAAGACCTTGTCCGACCTATCTGGCATGCCCCCTATGGCCAAAACTTAGTGACGGCGAGCATGAGAGAGAAATGTATTTTCCCTGGAGCAGTAGCATGAGAAAGGAGCCAAATAGAAACAGTGTGTAACTGACCATAACCACTATAATGAAATTTGTTTGGCAAAATTTGGTTATCATGACTTGAGAGAATTAGGCCTGTCAGCTGTTTTTCGTGAACCTCCTAGCAAAAATTCTGGCACTGACACAGGAAAAAACATACACTCATAACAACAACAACAAATTCCCTCCTCAAATGGAGGCATTAATTGGGTACTGAGCACAAGCAGTTATGGGAACCAGAGGGCTTGCAGTTAATGAATGTTCATGCACGCAACAAAAACTAAACTCACCCATGAGGTGCTGCACTTACCTAGCAACACCACATCCTCTGCTCTGGCTTCCTCTGCATCCATGGGCGGAAACACTGCTTCATCTGCAAACAGCCATAGACACTGTTCAAAGTCAAATGCCCCAACTCCTTAAGAGTTACTTGAACGTTATAAATTGGCCCTACATTCACGGTCACAAGGGACATGCCTGGGTATCTGATATCAAATACATGTGTTAAGTCACCAAATATGTCCAATATCCTCTTCTTTAGGAAGTGGAAGCACGTGAGTCACATGAAACAGAATCAAATAGAGTTAAAACGATGTGCCCACTCAGATATTGGCATAAAGCTCTTTTATGTATTTTTGCAAAATCAAATTCTTGCACAGATGTTTTAGTAACAAATAATACAAATGCTATTTGAAAAGCTCCTTATCCTGAAATGAGTATTTAACCTAATAATCTGACTTCTTTTCAGACACTGCTGTGATTTTACCCTTTCCCCAGTATGTTTTTCCATCCAAGTTCTAAAGCATAACAACTAACATATCTCCTGGTTTTCATTTTCCTTGTTTACTTTTTTCCTGACTCCTTTGGTCAAGATTCTATACTGCTCTTTACCTGTTTACATTGTTGTTACCTACTATCATTCTTGTTCTGACTTTCAGATCACGTAGTTTTTCACTGCCTGAAGTTAAACACCTATTGTTATTGTCCACAACTAATTAATTAATTCAATCACGCTTAGGTTTTATTCTACCTTTTCAATCTTGAAAATGTTTTAAATCCAAAATGATAAGGGTGTAAATTCCAAGGTCTGATTCTTAACCTTAAATATTTTATTGTATTTCATCCAGTTGTTGTTGTCATGAGAGTTAAAGACAATTTTAACCAACAGGAGCTGGCTAAGTGATCCTGTAGAAAGTACAATAAAAATAACGTTGCTATTGAGCAGCACCTTTACTCAGTAAAGCTAACATATTCTATTTTTAAGTTCAGAAATCTTAAGATTTCCAAATTTCATTTTCAGGGCAGCATATAAAATGTGCTCAATGAAGATTTGCTGTATAAACGGGTGACTAGTTAAATGCTAAGTAAAATTTAGAAAATAAAAATACTTTTAAAATTTTCTGGTGTGCTCAGTGCTTTGGCGCTGTGTCATTGATTACTAGCCCAGACTTTACATTTTTTTTTCTATTACGAACAAATTGATTTTCACTTACTTATATTTTTTTGACTTTTAAATGTATTTGTTTCTGCCAGATTTAGAAATATAAAATAATTTTTTTTCCTCTTTCTTCATTTAACAACATTGATCTTTAGGATCTAGGATTTCCAAAGAGATATTTATCTATGTAAACAACATTTACAGCTTTGTCTTTGTACCAGCTTAGTTAATATCAAGATGCTCAAGCAATGCCTCATTCTATCTGGTGTAATTGTTATTTCAAAATGCTTTTTGTGTAAGTCTCTCATGCATCTTAAATACTTCTAAAAGCTTGCTTATAAAATAAAGACCTGTAGAGAGTATATATTTCTATTGTAGATATTTCTATCCTACAGTCATCTTTCTTGAATAGGCTTCATGGTAGCCAAAACTCATTTCACAATAGCCCATTGTGCAAACCTTGCTGTTTGAATGCTTTGTATTATGTTGTCTGTATTTTACATGATAGTCACGGGCTACGCTTTGGATTTGAATAGACAGACCTTTCATTTGCATGTGCTTCATAGCTATGTACTCTAAATATGCCTCAAGCATATGTTTTATTTTTTTCCCATTTTCTGTTTTTATATGTAACAGGTTTTTTTGTTTGTTTTGCTTTTTTTAATTCTAAAATATTTAGTTCCTTTTCTAAAGAGCTCTGAATAGTTCAGAACCTTTTTACTTTTCCTTTTCTTTTCTTTTTTTTTTTAATGCTACTTTTAGAACTGACAATCATTCTAGCTTATGATCAGTCCGCGCTCCCAATCCTGGAGGTACTAGCATGTTCTTCAACAGTGGCACGTTTCTCTGTCTCTTTTTGTTAAGAACTAATGTCACATTATGATAATTAATGTATATCTTGAATTCCTGTTTTCATTTGACTTAGGTTTATGATCCCCAAATCTCTCATTATTATTATTATTGTTATTATAAAGTATTGTTGAATCTTGTTCAACAAGACTATTACTTCATATTGCTCTTCATTTGGGAATATCATTAAATTTCTTCTCTGTAGTAAATTTATTAGTTTTTGTAACCTCAAAACACAAGGTCTGAAACCTCATTACTAATAATAAATAGAAACCTAATAACACAACCAGAAGCTAACACCAAGTATTATTTACTATGGCGGCAACCCCAAAGCCGTGTATCATCATACCAGACAGAGACTCGACCTAGACTCAGTGCATTCAAGGGCCTGTTAACTGAAGTCAGTAGTATTTCCTTCATGTCTTTTGTCCAGAGAGACTTTGCTTTGTGGTTCTAGTGTGTTCTATGCCACAATTGATTTCTCCCCTCAGACGTACCAATTAAGAAGGTAATCACCTTCTATAAACTATAGTAATTTTAAAAATTTTATGAGTAAATGTAGTCAAAATGTTTTTTATTATTGCATGTTTTTAGTGTTTAGCCTCAAACTGTTTTTATCTTTTTAGAGATATCTAAATTTTACGTAATTAAAATAATGTGTCATTTGTTGTTGTTTATTATTTCTTTCTTTAGGTCTAAAATCCAAAAGCATTAATGATCTGATAAAGGATATAGTAAGAGAACAATTTAAAGCTTTTAAAAAGGACATGCATGAGACCGTAGCGCAGGTCTTCAAGACTGTATCAAGTCTGTCAGAGGACCTTGAAAACACCAGACAAATAATTCGCCAAGTTAATGAATCTGTGGTTTCAATAGCGGTCCAGCAAAAGTCTGTTTTAATGCAAGAAAATAGGCCTACTTCGACTGATATACTCGATCTAAAAAATCGCATTACGAATATCAGGCAAGAAATGATTTTTACATGTG